TTTTTTTTTTTTTTTGGAACTGACATGTTTATTGGGCCTTTAAACAAAATCCAATTTTTATTTTATTTTTTGCCAAATCACTTTGTTTGAGATATTTTTGTAGGCCTTTAAATCTGAAACACTGGGCTGTTTTGGTAACATTTTGCTCACAACAAAGTTAAATTAAGAAGAAAAAAAAACAGTTTTGCTCAAAATTTTTTACAAGTTTAGGACACCCTAGGAAGTTTACTTGTTTTTTTTACAGTGAAGTTTTTTACAGCCATTTATTTCACTTGGTGGTGGGAACAAATACAGTTTCTGTCCTTGTTCAGGCACAGATGTACCTTACACTTTATAAAAAAATTGCCATCTGTTATCATATTGATGACATTTTCTTACTTTTTTCTTCAATTTTCTTTGACATTTAACACGTAAATAATTAGTCAGTACAGCGTAGAGATTATAATTTAAAAGAAAACCACTTTGAAAATAGCCAAAATGTGTTTTCAAATGCATTTCAGTAATTAATCAATCATCCAAAAAAGTGTGTTGTATTGGGGCAAGAATACTGTTGATTAAATTACTAAAATATCACATGACAATTCAGGACTGGAGAACCATAAACCTGCAGTATCAAGCTTGATACAAACTTTTAACACGTTTAACTGTATTATTAAAAAATATTTTTTAATTATGCATTGTTTCGACACAGAAAGTATTTATTAAAAAAGATTACAAACAATATTGATGTTATTCTTACCATAACTTCTCCAAAATTAACAAAAGTTTTTCTGAAAAAATCGTGTGGATGACCTCACGTCAGCAGACATTTTGAAAAGGCAAAATAAATAAATAAATAAAGTTCCACTTGCTGCAGTACATTGATAATCCACCAGAGGGCAGAATACAGGTCTCAAATGATATACAACAGGTTTTTGAGGGGAAAAATGATCACATTGATAGGGTCACAGAATCCTGCGTAGCAAATATGATACAAACGGTGATATAAGGTTAGGAAGGAGTCTTATCAGCGGCCACACCATGACTAGGTTTCATTTATTTGCTCTTCCTGCCAAATGGGCTCCAGGTCTGTCAGACTGTGAGAGGATCTTTTGTGTACAGTTCTCTGTAGGTCACAAACACAGATTTTCAGATTTAGGTCAACTCTGGTTAGGACATTCAAAAGCTTTTATTTTCTTCTATTCAAGCCATCTTTTTGATTGATTTGGATGCATTCTTGAGGTCATTTTGAAAAGTATTCTTCATTTTTCACATTCCTGTGGGCCCAACTCCGACTGTCATTTGTGCCTACACACCAAATGATTGCTCAGAGTATCCAGCTTTCTTGGAGTCCTGGGTCCTGGAGGGTGCTCCACAGGGGCGGAGCCAGACATTTTTCTCAGGGGTGGCCAGACTGGGACCACTACACACACAGGGGTGGCCAGGAAAATTACATCATTTTTTACTTGAAAGTTTCTGCAGATCTTTGTGTTTTGGTCATTTCCTCGTCCTTATACAGAAAGTGACTACCTTATAAACATGGGCAACAGAACAATTTTAAAAGTGGGGGACACACTGTTGGGGGTGTCCGAGAGTCCTCTCCCAGAAAATTTTGAATGAAATAGATGCCATCCTGCATTCTGGTGTATTTTACCAGGTTGTTAAACATACTTTTAACTACATAAGTAAACACTTGATTTAATAATTATTTCAGAGACAGATTATTCGTTAAACTAGTTCCATCATCCTGTTTTAAACTCACTGCAACAGCTGAGATAAGATTAATTAAAGTGTCACAATTTATCATATCTAATGACTATAGGGATGGTTTTTACTTTTATATTGTTTATTGATTTATTTTTTATTTTAACACATTGTTGTGCCAAATAATGATGACCTTCAACTGCATGTTTAAAACTAATATTAATAACTTTACCCAATGAACAGGTGCAATACTGATACTCACCAACAGTGAATTTAGAGGGGTGTTTAACTTTTTTTGATTTAGTGATAGGTCTACTCATAACCAAAAGGGACAAAGCATCATGCAACCTTCAGAACATAAAATGAACTAGACATGGGTTTTTACGATGTAAAAACAAGTGTGCATTGCCATGTAGCATGTCATTGCAGCATGGCTTTGCCTGCAGCATTGGACTTGCAGAATGAACTTTGACCAAGTTCAAATGTGTTTTCTA